TAATCTTTAAATTAAGAGCTGTAGAGTTTGGCAAAGAGAGAGCTTTCTTTTTGGGCAGACATATACACATGGTCCTGTTTGTGTGTCTCCTGTTGAAAAGCAAGTCCATGGCTAAGGTCCTTTTTTTTCATTATCAGACACTTGACTTTTGGACAGTATCCTCACCCCAAGGCCCACAGAGAAGAGCTTTGTAAACACTGGAGCTCTTTACCTCTTTCATTTTGCCCTCATCTCCACAGCCCCACCAACATTTTTAAATCACTTACATAAAATGCAGATCCTTTGCCACCTGGTGAGACACTTCCTGTTACAAACATATGGAGGCCTTGCTTCTTTTGTTACCCGTTTTTTTTTTGGCAGCCGAGGAGTGCCATTTCATCTCTCAATGTGTTTTGCATTCACAAGAAGAGTCAGCGGGCCTCATGTGACATTTGCCACATGTTTCTGAGTGGCAGCCAATCCCTTTTCCCACCTCTGTGGCACATGGTGCCCTGTAACTGCAATCTGTCCTCCCGAGCTGTATGTTCTATGCACAGAGCTGTGGAGGACACATATGTGACGCCAGGCACTACAGCATTCACAAGGCTGGGCTGGGGACATTAAGTCACAGGTGGCAGGCAGCCATCAAAAGATCTGGAGAACATGCTGAGTGTGCTTGGTGGAGTCCTCATCATAAAGCGATGCAGCAGACAGAGGGACAGGTGACATGTCCATCACTTTCTGGCAACTCGACATTCATATTTCCCCTTAATGGCCGAAATAGTAATATTTCAACTTTTCCCTAAGGGCTGATTTTCAATCAAACATTTTCTCTGGTCTCGGCTTTTACTATTTATAATTTTCCTTTTGTTATGTAAATTTTTATAAGTGATCCAGGGTGATAATAATAGTAGCAAACATTTACTATGAGTCAGGTACTACTCTAAGCTTATTAGCTCATCAAATCCTCTCAACAATCCTATGAGGATGCCACAGACTGTTGTTCTTAAACAACAGAAATGTATTCCTTACAGTTCTGAAGTTGACAAGTTCAAGGTCAAGGTGCTGGCCAATTTGGCTTCTAGTCAGAGATCCTTCTGGCTTTCTTGCAGTCTTCACATGACAGAGAAAGGAAGAGAGAATCAGAGCCTTGCCCTTAATTACCTCCTAATGGGTCCTATTTCTAAATACAGTCACATCGTTGGCTAGGGCGTCGACATATGAATTTGGGGAGACAATTCAGTCCATAGCAAGTTGATATTGCTACTGTCCCTATTTTTTAGTGGATGAAATTGGGGCACAGAGAGGTAAGAAACTTGCCCAAGGTCATATAGCTATTAAGTAGAATATTCAGAATGCAAATCATGGTCTTCTTCACTAAAATACTCATGTCTCTAACCACTATGTTATGCTGTCTCTACGTATGTTATAGGTATATGCGTGCGTATAAATACACATACATACAAGGACACACATGGGTATATAAGTAGATATTGTACACGGTTCAATCCTGAAACAATGATCACTCCTGATCTAGTCAGTGGTTGAAGTAAAAAATTCTCCCCCCACAGAAAGATGTTGACAGCAAAGCAAATTTTTCCTGTGGGAGAAGAGATCCCACTTAAGGGTCTGCATGTTGAAAGTCATAACACCAAAGAAGATAACATGACCAACTCAGAATTTGAACCAGAAGGGATCCTGAGCCAGGGCAAGAAGTGAAGACTAGTTCCGAGCTCTATCTACTGGCCGAGGTTTAACAAAGTTCCAGAAGACAGAATATATATATATATACATACACATATATAATTTAGATGGGAGCCGATTAACTTTCTGGATCCAAACTCTACTCCGACCTACAAGGTCCCACATGACGTGGCCGCAGCCAGTTCCCCGGCTTTGTCTTCTGTCTTTCCCTCTTCCTCGCCACACCCTGATCTCACTGGCTCTCCTTCTTTTCCTCAGATACTTCCAGCTTATCTCTGCCCCCTGGCACATTTAGATATTCTCTGCACAGAAACTCTTACCTACTTCTGCACAAGGCGACCCCTTCATGTCCAATCGTCTCGCCTCTTCAGAGAGCTTTCTTTGTTAGATCCACCACCCAACCTGGTCCCTGCACCCTCCACCACGGATGCTTTTTCACGTTATCCAGTTTTATTTTCTAACATCATCTTATTTAATAATGTGTGTATATATATTTATTTTCTGCCTTTACTTCTTCCCAACTTTGAGTAAAAACTCCTCGATGGAAAGGACTTTATCATATTTATCCTACTGATCTTATAGCAGCCAGACCATCCGGTCGGTGAATGGGATGATACAGCCAGAAATTTTTAAAAATGGACATTTTATCATTAAACTAATATTTCTTCAATTCTAGCCACAGGCAAAATATCACCATGTTCTAATATATTGCTGGAGGTAAGTTTAGCTCCTGAGACGTATTGATAAGTATTTCTTTTATATTGCACACAAGGATTGCCTAACAAATATCTTTCAGACACGGAAAAAATAATTAAACAAGTTTTTTAACCTTCCCCACCTTACTGGGAATTAAATGTCAGAGGCGACACGATACAAACGGGCTATGTGAGCAAACCGAATGATGTTTGAATCTCAATCTATCATCGAATGATACTGGATTAATTATCTACCTTCTCAGAGTCTGTTTCCTTGTATGTAAGATGGAAATGATATCATGTCATGGGCAAGACTGTTCTGATAACATCCATGAAGTACCAATAATAACACCTGACATACTTTTAGTGCTCAAGAAGCTAAAACTATCTTTATCACCGTTGAACGTAAATAGAGGTCGATGAACCCATCCCATAATGCTTATCTTTTATTGCCATATTTTCTGTTCCTTTTTCTCTTTTGTTATTTTGCACACAAAATAGCATAGTATATCTTTCGACCGATTTATTTAAAGAGTCAACGTAGATTGGAACTGTTGAAACAGATATTAAATGGTCAACAAGAGAAGAATTAAGAAAATTAATTATGTTAATTCAATGGACGACGACTTCAAGATGAGTAAAAATCTATTCTGTAACTTCAAAAATATGTATGATATGATGTTAAAAGAACTGAGCAGCGAGTGACACATCTTGTCTTAGCAGAGAAATTTGTTGCTCTCAATCCTCCGATGAAGAAAAACTAGAAAAGGTGGACAAAATACAGAATATGTTCTTTGAAAGTCCTGAATACCTACCAAGCACGGCATGAGGCATGTATGTATTAGTTTCCTATTGCTGACATAACAAATTACCGCACACTTAGTGCCTTAAAACAACATAAACTTCTTATATGTACTTCTGGAGGTCAGAAGTCTGAAATGGTCTTACTGGACTAAGATCAGGATGTGGGGAGGACTCTGTTGTTTCTGGAGGCTGTAGGGGAGAATCCACTTCCACGCCTCTTCCGGCTTCCAGAGGCCACCCGCCGTCCTCATGTCATGGTCCCTTCTACTGTCTTCAAAGCCAGCATCTTCGAATCTCTCCCTGACTCTGACTCATCTGCCTCCTTTACTGACTTATAAGAGTGATGACGCTGGGCCCCTCTGGATCAACCATAATAATCTCCCCATCTCTAGGTCAGATGAGTAGCAACCTTATTTCTATCTGTAGCCCCTCAACCCCTTCTCATATGATGTAACATATTCACAGGCTCCAGAGATCAGGAGGAGGGCTGCTTTGGAGGCCCATATTCTGTCTACTGTAAGGGGCCAGGCTTTCCAAAGCAAGGAAGGGCAACAAGCTGAGTCAGCTATTCTGTGGATCTGTCCCCATGAAAGCGAGAGCTGATCCAGAGGCCAAGAGGCTACAAAACCGATAAACTACCATAAAGTTGGAGCTAAGGGTCTGGAAACCTGAATGCAGCTTTGGGGAGACAAAAATTGGTGTCAACGTAGCACTTTCTATCTCTAGACCTCTATGCACATAAACACTCTTTTTTCTGATCTTCCCCAGGCCCATCTGCCATTGGTGTAATTTATCTCATTTAAAAATTATAACGTGATAACTTTTCCAAGGTAGAGTTTCCTCTCACTTGAGCCCAGAAATATGTTTCAACTGTTTCCTTTGTCCCAGGCAGTTAACGTTTTGTACAATATTTAAATTTCTTACATGTTATTTAGTGGTTAGACAGGAGGCAAAGGTACCCTTTTATGTTAGAATGTCCATAATATTACTTGACCTATCATTTCTTCTAACCTAAATGAGTAACATATCATAATCTAGTGATGCCTTAAGAAATTTTTAGTGAATGCTCATTTATTATCCCAAAGTCAAGTACTTTTAAGGTAGCATGTCTCTGAATAATTTCTGTTTGTAGCATGGAAGTGCCTACTGGAAAATGTGAGCATTTTGGAAGCTGTTGCCCCAAATAAAAAATCATGGGAAAAAAAGTCAAGTCTGGAAGATTGAAATTTCTTTTCTTGATTGACTAAATAAAAGCTTTCCAAGGGGCTTTCATAATTTCTCCAAAAACTTTCTGGAGATAAATGGTATAATTGTCATGTGGTCACAGAAGTCCTGTTCCTCCTCAGACCTGCACACCTGAGGTGCAGTGGACGGCCTTGGCCAGGAGTAACGCTTGACCCCTGTCGCATTAGAAAATTTTGCTCTGGGCTCCACGTGTAACGTATAAATGCCATCACAGATTTGCTAGAGGAGATTAAATTGAACCTTCTTTGGGAAATTTGTTCAAGCTCCCCTTTGTTTTCAGATAGACTAATTCTCTCATTAATGATTCACATGTTGGGGCTGAGTATTGTCTTCTCGATCCTCACCTTACTTCTTGAACAATACCTATGCTTTCGTCTTGTTTTACATTAAGTCCAATGCTTTTGTCTTGTTTTAATACGTACCCAGACCACTCCTTTCTGCGGAAAGCAGGACTACAGAAGACACATTTTGGCTGGAGGGCGACTTTGCCTAAGGCCAGCCTTGCCTTGCTGGAATTCAGGCTTCCCTGTTAATCCCATTTCCACTACCTCATGCCCCCGAGCGCATTCATACCTGATGGAAGTCATCCACCTGCCTCACATAACCAGCCACTTCATCATCAGATTTAAAAATCTTCCATACTTTTCTCTTCACCTTCTTGTATTTCTGGGACCCTTTCCAATTCATGGCCATCAAGGAGCGCTCTGTCAGGGGAGCTGCCACGATGATGTCCAGTTGGCCGTTGTAGATCAGAACCTAAATGAAATTAAGCCAGGTCAAAATGCGAGATCCAGCAAGTGAAGCCAGTGACTCTATCTAGGTATAGTGCACGTACGTGCAAGAGAGAAAAGGGACCACGAACTTCTCCGAGGCAACGCTCAGAGAGGCCTGCCCCGCAGCTCGGTAGGGTCATTTTTTTCCTCTTGGCCACATGTACCAACAACCTGAAATAAACTCGAGCCTTGTCTCAACCACTGCATTCTTCCAAAAGTTTAATTTCTCATAGGAATCTGCATGAAGTCCTCTCTTGGTCGCAAAATCGTTTGTGCTACATTATCCAGTGACATCACATACTAGGACGCTCGGCTAGGTTAAAGAACAGGACTACAGTGAGGGCATGTTAGTGGAGTTGAGCGATCCTACGCCCTAGGGTTTTTAGGAGGCCGGTATTTCATTAACTCCACCCTCAGGCACTGCAGTCACTGGAGAACTGGGCGTTCTCTAGGGGGTTGATAATCCACACTGCTCTCTCCTCCCACAATGATTTCACAGCAGCGACTACAATTTTTTTAGGGAGACAGACAGATGCAGGTGCCTCAGATTCCTTACTTATTGGAGGCAACTATGTCTGCCGTGCAACTTCCAATACCTCCATCCTTTAAATGTCATAGCCATTTGTCAACAGTGAGGAATGTCCTTTCTTCCCAAAACACAATATTTTTTTTCGAAGTTGATGGATATTAGAGTGAAAACAACTCTGAGACAACCCTTTTCTCCCCAAACAACTTTCAATTTCCTGGAAATAGAACTCAGCAACTAACACAATGGTCCATTTTTAACACAAAGACTTTAAATGTTGAGACTCTTTATCCCCATAATCCTAATTTTTTGGAATGTATTTTATAAAAATTAGCCTGAAGAAATAAAAAAAATTACATAACTCTATTCATTAGTCTTTTATAATAAAAACTCGAAGACAATCTAAAAGTCCCATAATTAGTAAGTGGTTAAATAAACTGAGATATAGAGATTCTATGGAGTAGAACAGAACCATTCAAAATGTTTGACTCACCCACAAAGCAATGTAGAAAATGCTTATTGTATAAATATTAAGTGTGAAGCTGAATGTCAAATATATGTCACAATTATGAATATAAAATAGATATACATATCTACATATATGGAATGAAATTTTTTAAAAATGAATACAGTTGATCAGTGTAGGTGGTGGAAATTTGAGTAATTTTCCCTTTGTTTTCTACTCTTCTTAGGCTATCTTTATGCAACGAACACAATATTAGTTCTCATAAAGTATCGTCACTTTATGCCAAGCAAGGAGGTTTTCCTCACCTCCCCACTGCCTTTGATCTAGTTGGAAACTCTGGTTTGGCTCAAGTGAAGACCTTTGGTTGAATCCTCAGATTGGATATAAAATGTTTCACTACATATGATTCCATCTTTGCTTTCCTGGGATAGACTTCTTAAAAGGCTTGCACGTAATTAAAAAGCCCAGGACTTTTACACGCTCCAAATCCTCAAGCAGCAGTGGGCCAGGATTCAGCCCAAGATGAAAGAGCCCCGGGCCTCTGCTGCAGGAACGTGGGGTCTTTCGTGTCATCCAGTCACCGTCAACACCTCCACTCTCCTAAGCAAAGTCCCAAAGGGAAAAATCCTGGTCGATTTAAAGCCCCTTTAAAAAACTCAACTTGACTACAGCCATTAAAATTTGCATTGTTTATACCAAAAAAAAAAAAAAAAACTGCCGCAAAGACCTCGAATACTTATGGCTCATGCAAAACTCCTACAGCTGTTCTGCCAACAGTTGGAAACAATTATAGATGATCTGTACCAGCAAACAAGGCTTAAATACTTCGCTAATTCTAGGAAGGCCTGATTATAGCTGATTAATGAAGATAATCATCAATAAAGTAATTCCTCTTCTAGACTTCAATGAACAAATGCTGATTAACTAGCAAAAACACGATTCTATCTGGTGTTTTCTTCTCGGTGGCCACTAAACGAAGCTTGTGTCTTTCTGAGCATCTCGCCTAGCTACCTTACTGTCATCAGTATATTTTGAAATCGATTTAAGGGATTTCATTCCATTGATTTCATCTCTAAGGGATGAAAATCCACAGATTACAGCAAAAACAGGCTTAGACATACAGCATGAGAGTACCAGTTTGTTGAACCGGATTGAAATGACGCCCATCCCTGAGCTGTGTCCCTTGTTCTTCCAGACTCATCATAAACGAGCACTAAGTCCCTGGAATGAGGCAGTGAAGGGCTGAACTGCATAATTTTGTGCACGTGATACAGGGAGGGAACATTTTGGAGGGCAAATGGAAATCCTTTCCTTGCAGAGCAAGGAAAACATTTTTAACTTTTAAAGGGCACATAGGTCAAGTGTAACCAAAAAAGAAATCAGATTAATGATCGAGTGAAGTGATTTCAGAGCTGTCATTTAAGGCTGCCTGCTTTAAATATAAGAATTCCGGAGCCTCTATTTTTATCTAAATGTCACATTTACTCTCACCAGCCCCCACAGGACTATCCCAGTTGGCTGTGGGGCTGGGTGAGTAGGCGAGCTAGCCCAGGATTCAGTGACAGTGAGCTGAGAAGTCAGGTGGGTGGAGTGTAGGGGCGGATGGTTTTGAAGCCCACACTCACATCCTGATAGTCAGAGAAGTTCCAGGACAAGGCATAAGCCTTGATGAGTTGGCCCGTTATGAAGGATCTGCACGCATTTGCTTCATTTCTTCCTTGTAGGGTGACCAGCTGTCCTGGTTTGCCCTGGACTGAGCAGTTTCCCAGGATGCAGAACTTTTCAGGCTAAAACTGGGACAGTCTGGGGCGAACCTCCCCCTGAGGCTTGCTTGTATTTTAAGCAACAAAGTCTAAAGGCAGAGAGGAGACAAATGAATGCTGCCTTTAGCTACACTTCCCTTGTCAGTAGTAAGTCTAAAACATCCCAAGGACAGGGCTGGTTGCAAGATGCAAGGACAGGGCTGGTTGGGGTTGGTTTACCAGGCAGGACTCTGGTAACAGTTTCCTCTCGTTCTTTTCTGCTCATCTCTGAGCCCTCAGATCAGGAGCAAAGGCCTTCCTTTCAGGGAATATCCTTTTATTTTAGTACTTTGAGGTCTGACTGGTTAGCTTGTTGAAACTGATGGTTATGTGAAAACATGGAAAAATACTTCTTGGTAAAAACTCAATGAAAAACTATGATTCCACTATTTGTGGTCTATAATTACTATAAAAAGATGCTTCAAATTTGTGAAAAGAATACCTCAACATATAGCCATTAAGGTAGTTAAAATATGGGTGATTTGTTTTAACTTGACTATCTTCTAGTTGTTTTGATAAATGTGGTTAGGATGTTTTTATGAGGAAAAAACAGTAAAACAAACAATAAAACAATAAACAATAAGAGGTCAGGCATCTTTGTTTGGCAAAAGATGGGTCTTTATTGGGGAATAATTTGTGTAAACGCAACTATTACCAGCTCTCAATTTTTCATGGCAACTAGGTAAAAAGCATAACTTCGGTTTGTTCATAAATGATCTTAAAAACTCAACTCAGAGTTTTTAATTGGAACATTTATAAGAGATGGCACTAGGTGGTTTGGTATAAGCATCTTTTTTTTTTTTTTTTTTCCTGTCAAAAGGCAGACACGAGAAAAGCATTTTTATTATGTTCTTTACTTTCTGAAGTGCTCTCATGTACATGGGGCTTTATTCTCACACCGCTTCACGATGAGGACGAGAAGTGTTACTTCGCTCACATCCGCTTTAGGAAATTGTGACACAGTGAGGTGCCAGAATGTGTCCCAGATCCCAAACTTCCAAACTTCTACCTAGAACCACTTAAGATAGGAGCTAAATTCCTTCAAACCAACAAGCATTTACTGACTCCCCACAGCTAAATGTTTAGTGCCAAAATCCTATGAAATGGAGAATTGGTTGCGTGGGACACAGTTCACGTCTCTGGTTCAGAAACAATCTCGGTCTGTTCGTTCAACGCTGGTGACATCTCTCAGTCATTTCTCACTTTGGCTCCATGGACAAGGACGTGTGCAAGGGCATTATTCAGCTGGTGACAGATGCCTTGCTTCCGTCTCAGGGAGTGGCCTTGAGTAAGCAGCTGAGGAACGGCACCAACTCCTTGAGGAGGGGGCTCCCTTAGCACTTGACATGGTGCCTGGCACCTCATAAAACATATGGACACCTATCAGGTAGAATCAGTCCCTGTCTTTAAAGGCTTTCTGCAATGCTGTATGGATCATCTGCTGTTTTGGCTTGCCCAGGTCCACCCTGCCTTCTCCTGGTAACTGGACTTCTGTCCCCTCAAGGGATACAGCCCTAGTGGAGATTGTCAATCACAGAGTGCTGCCTCTTCTGTGCAAGGGATGAGCATGTGACCTAAGGTAGGGCACTCAAATGCGCTTTCCCTAGAATTCGAATAACAGACAGAGAGACTCAGGGTTTCCTGATACATCTACCCGTTAGTTTTGCCATCTGGATTCCCAGATTTTTCCCTGGTTTCCACCTTTCCTCACTCCAGTTCTTCAGTTTCCCTGTGAATTCTGTGACCTATCACGTCTTCCGCTCGATTCTTTTCATGTCCCAAGTAATCAGAGTTGTTTCTGTTGCTAAGAGTATGATATCCAAACTCATGCACCATCAGGCCTGTGCACACATGGCCCCGGCAAGCAGTAACAGGGAACACCTGGACATGTGGCTTAACCCCCATGAACTTCAGTTTCCTTTCCTGAACAGGAAGATGGTAAGACCTATATCATTATAGTGAGAATTAATGAGATAACGTGCACAAAGATCCTAGCACAGCGACTGACATGAACTGAGAATTCAGTGAGTATTAGGTCCTCCTCCTTCTCAAGCAGGTTGATGATTCGATCACGACGTGATTCAACAAAGCACTTCTAAAATAAACCTTAAGAGTATATGGATGTCTTTGTGTGTCAAATACTTGGTTGCTAATCTCACTCTTTTAGACAAAGGCCCATGGTGGGAGGA